CACAATAAATAAAATCAGTTATTCGGAAACACGATAAGGGTTTGATCGAGTACATCCCTGCTGTACTTGATACTGACTGAACGACAAAGCCTTTTATCCTCAGAAGCAGAGCTGCTGCTATAAGGTGCAAAATTTTATAGTCTCACAATGGGATCGCTTCCTGAGAGAGAGGCGGAATAGTGACAGGCAGTGCTTGGCACGATCATTCCGTCAATTTCTGACTTCGAATCATGATTCTCCGACGTGGAAGCAGAAATTGCTCTTTAAGCAATTCTGAATATGTTGACTGCTCAGCAAAGAAACATTTTTTCCGAAATCACTCACTCAAACATTTTTCCGAAGTCACACACAAATGCAATGAAAACATCCGTTACCATTTTCAATCAAGTTTTTTTTTTTTTTTTTTCTAGTGCAATACACCCTTTGCATGGGAGAATTTTGCTTATTTTCCCTACAAATGGCCGTTAATCAATACAATCGTTGCTGAACTATCATCTCACGATGAGCAATATTTATCCAAAGAGAATCAGTCAACGACAACTAAACAAAGTGAATTCGGAAAGAGGATGAGGTTAGGGTAGTGCATTAGAAATCAACAAAACTCGAGAGTTGTCCGCAAATAAGTAAACGCTCAACTGAATTCAAAACAGAGCACTCCATTGTTGATTGTTTATAAACACATTACCCGTCATCTTTCTGATTTGAATTTGAGGTGTTCTGTCATACGAAAGGCAAACAAAAGCGCAACGGTCAACCGTGTGTCACTCTATACCGCTTCCGTTTACGATTTTTTGTGTAGCTTAGCGATCTGAGTCGTACCTTTAAGTTTGCTATAAGATTTTCGAATTCATTCGATTCGAGACACCCAGCAATGTGGTGGTGGACGATCATTTGCCTTCTCGCTGTTACAAGAAAAGGTTTGCTTTCGAGTTTTCGTTTCAGAAAACCATTCTGATCAACGAGCCACTAGCATTTGAGGTGTTCTACTGTGAGATCATCGTTTTATCTGCACTTAGGCGATTTGTTTGATATTGAAGGCAGTTTGTATGAATGAAAATGAACTGCAAAATTCTGACAATGACTTGCCATATTCATCAAGGTTCTGATGCGAAAGACTGGATTCGACGAGCCCTGAGTAGCTCATTCAGAATTACTTGGAAAGTGATGCTTGTATAACATACTTGCTTGTCTCAATTGAAGTTGTGGAGACTGGGCTCACTTTGCTTCTTATAGCAGGCAAGCATGGGCTCATAGGAATTTTTCGCGGGCGAGTTTAGCTTTCCACAACCCTAGCATTCATTACAGCATTAGGTGGTGAATGTAGAGGTGCTTAGTGAACAGTTTTGCTGGTTGTGCTTAAATTTGTTGAAATCGCTTGAAGTGGTTATCGGAGCAGGTGGCGATGTTCAACTGATGTGAGTGTTATGAAATCGGAAGATGCGTTATTCTTTGAAGCCAGTTCAATCGGAATGAACCAATAAGAAGTTTTATTCTCATCGGTAACATTTACTGAATATGATTTAGATGAGCACAATCTAGGAGTACGAGTGGTGTTCCAATGTCCTAAAAGAATCACGTATCAGTCGCTTATGATATCACATTTGTTGCTTAAAGCTAACTCTCATTTTGCTCCACAACGAATGATGATAATTCAACCAGTGTGCAGCGATAATAATAAATACAACAAATGCGTTCTGATGAAGAACAATTGATGTAAGTGAGTGTTGCAGAGTTGTGTTAAACGTATGAATTTCAGACTATGCTCGATCGGAAACAATATGCAGAATAGGTGATCAGTGCGGAGAATGTGAATTGCGAGAAGTTGGTGATAAATGCCACAAGGAAGACGTTTATGAATCTTTGTTTTGTGATCGGGAAACGAAGTAAGCAATTCCCGCTAATTTAAGCACTGGTTCACAGTAATTTTGGAAATCATAAAAATATCATACAGCGCTTGAGTATGGAACGAGTTTCTTAGAAATCGCATGAAGAGCATCATTTCCAATTATGCGCGTATGAATTCCGGCATAGCTTCTATGGTCAATCAAATCGCTTAATACAAACTTGAAAAACTTTTCAAGTTGGAACAAAAATTAGATCGATCAGCATCCGACGGAATCCATTTTCCTAATTCCGAATTTCAATGGTAGCTGAATAAAGGACCGGAAGATTGATGAATCGGAAATCCAATCGGAATTCGACTTAATTTACTGACCAAAATTCAATCGAATTCTGATCATTAAGTGAACTCAGCATTTCAAGATTGTCTCTTGAAGACATTAAATGCAAAGTAAAATTGTGAAAATAGTTCCATTCATTCCCACATACGGATAGAATTTTCTTATTCTCTAGAAAATCGTTGTTCAATTAAGTAGTATCATGGACCACTAGGTCCACCAGATATTCATTAAAATCAATGGCAAATTTGAATCGGCGATAAAATTTTGCGAACATTCCAGTCAAATTGATATCAACGAGAATGCATATCTGGTATGTGATACAAGAAAGACACAGCTCATACGAAAGTTGTGCTCGCAAGGTGAGACATTCATCAATGGCGCTTGCGCAGTGCCACTGAAACGATACCGACGTCAAGGCACGGCTGGTTCAGGACGCGTCGGAGACTCTTGCTCATTCAATACAGATTGCCTTACCGTTAGCTTTCTGCCCAATTCAGTGTCGTGTCATGCTTGATTTTAATTCATCAGCATTAGCTTAAATAGAATTCTTTGTTTTTTTTTCCAAATTTCAATTGCAGTTGTCGCAAATTTTTTGGACGTTGAAGGTCCTGAAACCTCTCTCATTATCAAAGATATGATCAAACATCCAGTTGATGTGATCACATTGAGAATATATGTTTAGACTTCTAGTGATTGATTCGATGAAGCTTTCTGCCAAATCAAATGTTTGCTTAGGAAAATTAGAGACGTGCAAGTGGAGGATTTTTTGATGTTTTGTAAACAATATAATCAAAAAGAAACAGAAAAATCAAATCACAACACGATCTCTCGCCAACGCATATCTCATAGATGTTTCTGAAATTTCCAAATAGTTTCACGTGAGTTTCCAGACAGCTGTAAATATATGGTTTTGAAACCATATAGTATTTAGATCGGTTCCATCACGGAGTCGAGAACCTTTCGCCTGAACGATCCTCCTTATGCTACTATACACACATTATTACCTAGATGTTGAGCGATGTTTTTAAATTGCAGGGAATGTTTTGCTCGACGGGCATGTGCACATGTCTCAGTAATTTCGTTGCAATTCAAGGATATTGTTATTTGAGTAGGTTGCATTGAATATTCCTGCGTGCATTACTACAATGACCAGCAAACCTACTTGCGTTTGATGTTTATGCACAACATCCACATACTGTGTTTCTGCTTCTTGCATCGGTCATTTTCGTTGCAGCACTTCGAAAGTGACAGATTCGTCCAATTAATTTCTTGACGACATCAGTATTCCATCCGTCTACGCATAGCATACTCACCGTCAACTAAATGGAGAAATGTATTGCAGAAAAGAATCCAGGCGAAAGTGGCTGCCAATACTCAGAGCAGTGTAGTGCTGTATGGCCTGAGTCACGCTGTGAGAAGAGTCGATGTGAATGTCCAGAGGACGTCAACGGTGTACCATACATCCAATCGAAAACTCGTGATGGAGTGATCTGTATTCTGAGATCCGGTGAGGATGGCGATCCTGTGCCGAAATGTCCACTCCCAGAATATGACGATGACTTGCTATCGATGCCCGTCTCTCAACTGAGAAATCCAGCGATGACTGATCCGGATGATGATACAGTAAGCTATTCGAATAATTAGTTATTCGACAACAAAACTGTGATGGTAGATGGATATTCCGTGATGATGAAAGCATTTCAAGTGGTTGATCTAGTCGCTTCATTTTGGTGGAATGGTGTGATGGGAATTCGAGCGAATTCATTTATGAGATCAGTTCCCTTCACCGAATAAATAAAAGCCAATGAGATATTGCAAAATTGAAGACAAACTGAAATTCTTAATGCAGATAGCAATGGGTCAACATATAAATCCTCTACAATTTTGTACGTCTACATCAACGGACTATAAGAAATTCGTTGCAAACGGTGGTGGTGCGTGTGTCTATTCGGATGATCCAGAGAGTACGTCTGGAGTATCGATAGCTGACATCTACGACTGCGTTACGGCTGTATCGATGACCGAAGTTAAAGAGGCAATGGACGGCGTTTATGATGTACATCCAAATGCGGACGGCATCTGCTGCCCCAATCGAGGTATCTCATCTATAATCTGACTTTCAGACTTCATCATGACAAGAGAAGTATAAACTGGAAGCTCATTTCATGAGCTGCCTCAGAGAAAAAGGTTTTACGCAGTGAAGTTGCACCAAATTCATTTATCACGAAGCACATCGCGTTTCACAAGATGAAATAATCCATTTTCAGCATTCACTTGTATCCAACCAAAGCACGAAGCGGACACGAGTTCAGCGGCAGCTACTGGTGTTCGTCCACGTTGGTGGTTCAACGCTGTTACTGGAACATGTGAACAGTTCATGTGGGATCCATGGGATGATAGTGAAATGCAGTCACCGAACAATTTCAAGACTCGTGAACATTGTGAATCGTATTGTCGTGATAGTAGGTTTCACCATTGCAGATTGAAGTATTGATTTCACGAATTCATTGAGAAATGCCCTCAAATGACTGAAGTAGATTTCATGAAGAGTGATGAAATGCTCTACTATAGATATCAATCAGTGCATATTCACTGTCGATTCTTCAGCTGATTAGAACATTCATTTAATCGTATTAATTTTAATGAATCAGTAGAAGGTTAATCAAGAGTTGTTTGTTGAAGCATGTAAACGAGGATCGCCACAGTACACGAACGCCATGACAATAAATGATGCCGAACCGGTGAACACGTGCCAGTCAGTGGGCACCTGCCTTCAGAACTACGAATGCAGCACGGTTGGTTCGATGCAATTCTGTTGTCCGAATATCGCGAGTATCTGCAGTAATGCTGGAGGTCGGCCACTCGAACCAATCAGAAGTACACATTATGATCCTGGATATTCCATCAAGAGGTACTTTCGATCAAATTCGATTTTCCTTTTATTCTAATTCATTATCCAATGATCCGATTAAATAAATCAGGTGAGCAACTGATTGTTTGAAATATTTCTATGAAACCCAAAATATTTCTATGAAATATTACAACCTTTTGTCAACAGTCATTCATGTTTCCGAAAATATTTGAGCGGTTTATTTCGAAGTGATCACTTGATCAAGTGCGCTATCCGTGTAAGCGTGAATCGATAGTGATATTCTATCTGAATCGTTTGTTAGTACAAACAATTGCTCATCTACCAATAAATGAG